ATGTTTATAAATTATGATCATCCCTAATAAAAATTATAAAGCTCTTTTTTTTAATTCTTGTAGAACAAATTACAAACTCTTACTAATTGTTATCGGGAAATCAAAATATAAGACAGCCAATGTTGAAACTAAATCCTGAGTCCTGACTAACAATATTGTCTTTAAGTTTACTATCCACTTTATGTTAATCATTTTATTATATGGTTATTTTTGTTATCATTTATGTAAATTGGTGATACGAAAAATAATCCTGAAATTAACGGGGAAAAAAAGTTTATATTTGTGACTTGATCAATGAATTTTTGTATGCATATATAGAGTGAAAATTATCTTTACATTGACCGCGCGAATATAAAGGGCAGCCTAGTGCACTAAGCTCCCGCTATGCGCGGGGTTCGGGAAAGTGCCCGACCATAAGGGTCTATTAGATACAGCCCTGCATTTCTGCAAGAGGCTGTTTCCACGGCTCGAACCCATGACCTCGTGGACACATGGCAACAACTTTACCGGTTACGCCAAGACTCCCCTTCAACGACTCGGCGAATATAACTGACAGAATTAGCTCGAATCTTCCTCACGTGCAATTACACTTTAAAAATCTCCAGCATAGAATATGCTCACGGACATATTATTGTGTCATATATCGTTTTACAATGAAGATGAAATTTTTTTCCTTACAAAGAAGAAGCCAGAAGGGCCGCCATGAGGCTGCAGAGCTAGCATTACAGGACTCTCCGCGCCTTGTTCAATAGACAATATCCCACTGTTGTAAGTCATATCTGTTTTCACAAAACCAGGGCAGATGCAATTGATCTGTATATACGGATACTTCTTTGCCATGACCCTCGAGTAAGCATTCATCGCTGCTTTAGAGAGTATGTAGGCTGACATGAGAGAAGGCCAGCCCTTGGCTTGGAGGGTATTTTCTTTATTGTCCCTTAGATATTGTTCAATAACCTCTTGTATTTTCTCTTCTGTGAGGTTTTCACTGTCACTTAATACTCCTTTAGCCCATTCGTGCTTCAAGTTCTGGAAATGCAATTTCAGTCAGCTAATTAACTCATGGAAAGTAAAACTAGAAGTTCCATTTCCAGGAGGAGGAGGAGAATTATACCTTTAGCCTTCCCATGGAGGAAGAAATGTTGACAATCCTAGGCGAATTAGATAATTGGAGCAGTGGAATAAATGCTTCAGCCATTCTCTTCACACCATAATAGTTTGTTTGCAGGCACTCATCTGCCAGCGCATACGACTCGGTCAATATATTATTCCAATTGACTTGAGATCCTCCTGTCTATAGCAGAGATTACAACAATATTAAGATCAGTGCTAAAGATGAAAGTCTAAAGCAAAGGGTTTCAATTGATTACATGTCAGAAGTTGAATTTTCCAGAAAGAGATACATGGCTACAAATCATGACTATTGCTTGATAGTAGAATGATTCTAGTCTATGTTGCTTGGACAATTCAAAAATGTTGTTGGGTGTGTGTCGGATCCTCCAAATTTAATGTATTTTTGGAGGATCCGACACGGGTTGCAGCAGCCTTTGAAAAGTCCGAGCAACATAGATTCTAGTATTAATAGATTTCGCATCTCTGGTTTTTAATCAAATAGTTAGTACAAAGAGAGGTGTAGTAGTTAATTTAAGGGTCACACCAATTATGATAATTCCTCTGGTTGTGAACTCCTAACGTACATTATGTTATGACGCTAATTGTAATTAAGGGATAAGTTATGCTATAATGAAATTACAGCTCAACTGGTAACTTACACAATCAACTCATTAAACAAAAAGGTAATTAAGCATCAACGTACAACCTGATAAAAATGGTAACAAACCTGCAAATGTATATAAGTTAAATACTTGTAGTGGTGGCAAAATGGATAAAACAAAACAATTGTCTACCCATATTTAAAAAAGAGAATTTTTCATAAAGCACCATCTTTTAGGTCTAATTAGCCATTTATAGATACCTTTGCTATATTACGTGTTATAGATACCTTTTATGTTTTTATACAATGTATTTCATGTATTTAAGCTGTTGTATTCATTAATACAACAAAAAAAAAGGCGTAAAAAGTGGAATTCCAGCTAAGTTTGACATGTATTTAGCTGTATTCAAGCGGCATTAACGTTAAATACAGTAACGTATCTGCGCAAAATTTGGAAGGTTAAACTGGTTAAAAACGGAAGGAAATCAAATCACATGATATTCTACTAATTTAACTTAACGAACTAAAACGATCCCTCATTAATCTGTATTTGAAAGATACATAATAAAGATTATAGCTGAATAAAGAGAAATACATATGAATAATACAGTTGAGTAGAACTGTATACAGTTGAATACAACAAAATACAACTTAATTCATCTGAATAAAACACTTGAATACAACAAAATACATCTAAATACAGCTGAATAGAACTCTTGAATGCAACAAAATACAACTAATCTGCTNTCTTGAAATGCAACAAAATACAACTAATTTGCTGAATAAAATAGTTGAATATAACTAACTACAACTGAATACAACTGAATACAGTTGTATAAAACACTTGAATACAACTAACTACTGCTGAATAAAATAGTTAAATACAACTGACTAAAACTGAATACAAGAGAATACGCATAACTTTTTAATACATCTAAAATATATAAATGAATGCTGCTGAATACATGTGAATACAGCTGAAATATACATTCGAATACAACTGAATACAAATAGCTATACGAAAGTTTTATTGTCAGCCCCAATTTATTGTTTATCTTCTTATCCAAATGTCTAAAGGCCACTGCTGGACATATTGGCACATATTGTGTTTCTGAAATTGCATATCTTACGCTTCAAGCCTTTGAATTAGGTGCACTGCGTGCCGATAGAAACGTTTTCTTTTTCCGATGAGTTTCAGAGGCATCGCCGCCGTCGCTGCTGGAGGTAAAACCGCCTCCGGTCCGCCGTATTCCATTGAGGATCTTTACTGGGAGAAAAGAGAAATCAATAAAACCTTGGATAAAATCAAGAATTAAACTTACCCTAAGCACTTGTATCGGCTCTAAAACAGTGATTTTAGAGAGAAAAGAAATGGGGAGTAATAATGGCGGAGACCTAGAGAATTTGGGTGGGAGAAGAGGTATGAATCGTGGGTTTGTGGGAGAAGAGAGTAAAGTGTATGGAAAAAGAGAGAGAACGTGGTTAGTAAGATTTACGGTGATTATGTGAGAGAAAAGACTAAAAAGGAGAGAGAAAAATATTATTTAGCATATATGGTGCCTTAAATGTAGGATGTAACTATAATTAGATATTTTGCTATAAAGGATAAAAGGTATCTATAGGATGTAATATTTAAAATGGTATTTATTTAAAATAAATAGGGTACTAAGCTTTTCTATAGGGTGTAAAATTTCCTTTAAAAAATGGGTTGGACGGATAAAATATGGATAAGAACCATATTATGCATTTAGAAAATGGATAACCAATGGATAATTAATGGGTTTAACTTTTACATTTGTAAAGCCTAGCATATATCCTTTCATCACATACGGTCGACTTTCGATTCAATCTCTGAGGGGCTCCTCCCCAAAAAGTGATCATATTCAAGAAGCCATGGACAATATATGGATATCCATATATATTATCCGTCGATTATCCCATTTTTTATCCATATTAAATATGGGTCAGGTCGGATAATTTATCCTTATTCGTTTTGACCTGCCCAAACCCGACCCGACTGTTTGTCACCCCTAAATACTTTGTCATATACCTATTCTGGTATTGAGACGTGATAGACTGATAGTAATAAAAGGAGCTCACCCCACTGGACTCTTGTTCAGATATAAGGGCATCAGCATCTGCAGTGACTCCACCAATTCCTGCATTGTTCACCTAAAAATACCCACAGCTCTTTCACTTCCCAAATTGTTCTGATCATAAACAAGAAAATCAATCAAGAACATAAACATTGCTGTGATGCTTCTTACCAAGATATCAAGCCTGCCAAATTGGATCTTAATGAATTCAGCCAAAGAAGCAATAGTGGAAGGATCCATAACATCAAGCTGCTGAAACACCACATTTTCTTTAGCCAAACCAGTTAACCCTCTGAGCTTCTCCACAGCTTCAAGCCCTCTCGTCTCATTTCTAGCAGTCAAAACGACTATTACTCCCTGAGAAGCAAGCTGCCTGCATATTTCAAATCCGACCCTTTGTTTGCCCCTGTAACTACTGCATACCTGCACCAATAATTAAGTATAGATACAGAGTAAAAACCAATAAAATAATTGTAATTGCAAATGATAAAAGAAGAAATTCAGTACTTTGTGGCTTGGCCTCTGATTTCTTCTGCCATTTAGAATAGCGTTAGTTGTGGTTGAAGAAAGCTACAGTTTGTTTTCCTTTTAACTCATTACATGGCTTTTCAGCTACAGTGCATGGCGAAATATCGCAAAGTGGCTATCCACGTGTATGCATTTATAACTTCACACCATACTTAAGTACTGTTACAAATTTGATTTTATAGTAAAGAAAAACAAAACAATATAGAAAAAGCCTTGAGGTGTGATATTATCACATTTAAAAGAAAATGTGACTACTTGACTTTTGAGGCAGCACAGAATACTTATGTGAGATGCAATCAAGCATCCATCTTATTTGATGTTAAAATTCATCAATTATAAATATCTGATTTGAAATAAATTAAAAAAAAAAAGAATAATAACAGTTAATATATATGTTGAAATTGTAATTTTTCAAAAAAGATTTCGACCTTTTAGAGCTGATATGTTCTTTGTAAAAAAGAGTATCTTATTCAAGTATTGTATAATAAGAAAATGATCATTCAAGTACTTTGTGGTAAGAAATTGAGGGACAAGTATTACTTTTCAAATTCTACTTTCAATGTGGGACTCCCTTAAAGATGGTGTCATTTTAAATAAGATAACATGAGAATTTCACAATCACACAATAGGATGAAAATTGAGAAGTCACTAATTGTGTTAATGATGTCTCTATTTCAAGTCGGTTTATGGATTCTGTGCCTTGAGCACTGGATGCAGATCATACTCCAGACCAAAATTGGGGAAAGGAAAAGAGACAGCACAGTGCCTTGCGCGCCCACATTTATATGTACAAGTCAAAAATGTTTATGGTTATAAAAGAAGCATCTTTTGCAGCTTGTGAACAAGGTAGGTTCCCACAAATACAGTAAACGCGACACTCAGCTTCCAAGTGACAGAATAATCACCAGTAGAACTACCCTGAGAGCGATATGCTCGGCAAGACTAAGAATCTTGACATGCTTCTTTTTCCTCAACTCATGGGGCACTGGACCAAAAACTCTGGTTCCAATCGGTTCACCATGCTTGTTGATAAGCACCACAGCATTGTCGTCAAACTTTACTTTGCTCCCATCACAGCGGCCCCTTGGCATAGCAGCACGAACGACAACACCATAATGAACATCTCCTTTCTTCACTTTCCCTCCTGGCTGAGCTTCCTTCACTGAGCAAACTATTGTATCTCCTAATCTTGCTCCTTTCTTGCCCTTCAGTGCTTGGATGCACATCACTCTCTTTGCACCTGAATTGTCTACCACTTTCAGATTCGTCCTCATCTGTATGAAGGTCCTTTGTTGCTGAAAGGACCAAAAACAAGAAAAGAACTTTAGTATCATAACTGTAACATGAGACGATTCAAATCATACTCAATATTAGCAGAGTTAACTCATAAGATTCAAGACCATTTTAATATAAACTTTTAGCCATGTGATGTTGTTAAGGCGTTTTCTCTAATGAAAATAAGCATTTCATATTTTTGACTAGTAAGAAGGGTTTATCTTAATGTGAAGAATAAATTCTGTGGCTTGCACTATTACATTATATGCATGCATTAACAAAATGCACGCAACATCCATATTTCATGATCCATGGCTGATGAACATTGCAAATGGACCGGAAAAAAGAATCAGGGTTTGGGAGGGTTCTTTTTTTTTTTTTTAGGGGGGGGGGGGGGGGAAAANATCGGGGTTCAGGGGGGAGTGATTGAAATAGCAGAGCAGACTAACCTGTAACAAATGACTGCACGTCATCTCGTGTGTTGATCTTACTAAACCATCAGGATTGTTGCAGAGGCCACTGAACAATTAACGGCCCACTACTGCAGCGATTAACACATGTTTAAAGCACAGGTCACACATACAGACAAGGAAATAAGGAGCGGCAGATAATGCAATGTGGATTATAGCACAAGAAAGCAGTGAATGCAATGAGTTGATACAGATAGCATAATATCCTGTTGCAGTAACTAATGGACTTTCTAATGCACATAAAACCATCAAATACTGAACAACATTTCGCAAGGTTGTCTTCCTGCAGAAATCTTGATGACTATATGGCTGATAAAAATCATATTACGTCCTTCTTCCAAATTAATTATCATGTTTGACTTAAAATGATTAAATAAGTTGATAGGTATAAATGTGTCGTGTCAATGCAATTATAGGACTAAATTGAGGCCACAAGCTAATCTATTTCTTTTAAGAATATTAAAAAGAAACAAGAAAGAGAAGTTGTATCAAGTAAAAACATGAGTCTCGCAATGATGATATTCAATTTGGGATAAAATTGATTCAACAGAAGTTTTCTTGACACAAGAAGACTTTATCCTGTAAATGGGTAAAAACCCTCCCTTTACGTTATATATTAAGCTCTACCTGCTATGCTGTAAAGACTAAAGACCGTAAATGACATTCACTGCTTGAATATTTTGATATCAAACTCCACTGAATGGACAGATTAGTTGGTAAGAGTGACAAATATAATAAATAAACATTTCTACTTTTTGATGGAACAATTATCAGAGAAAGAAAAAGGAAAAAGAGGGCTGACAAGCAATCAATACATTATATCACTAGAGACAAACGTTTACTTCCTGTTTATGAGCTCCTCCGTGCATAAAAATTAACATGACTTCATTGTGTGGATAGTAACAAGAATACGTACATGAAAAACCTAATTGAGTTCATTAGACCATCCCCAATGAGAAATAATGTAAACTACCTCTCTACAGATCAAACACAGACAAAGGAGTATCTCGGCCTGCAACCCCTAAAACTTACTTGTATGTGTTTTCCTCAGTTGTTTTTCATTTGGTTTATCTGCCTGAAACTACATCTTCCGTCGAGGAAAGGAAAAGAGAGAAAGGGAGGGGGGGAAGAGAGAGATCATTGGCATTTTAACATATTTGTCACATCATTGAGAAAGAGAGAGAGAGAGATAAGTTCCATCTCATACAAATGTATAGCATACTGCTTCATCTTAGCAGTCACAGCAAGTAAAGCCCCTTACCACGAACCAACCGAGAAGAAGATGCAGCCATCGCTGGAGAAGATTCTGTGATACGAAGGAGAAAGTCAAGTACAATACCATCCACAAATAGCCATAACACAAGCAGTACAAAATTAAAACACCAATTGTGCCAATAGGTGTAAACTATATTCAAATAGATTTAGTGTAATTTTTTATTTGGTAATTAGATTTAATGCAATTAATAATCAAATTATGTGAAGTACTAAGCCAGCAACTCTACATGTGGGACAGACAGACAGTGATCAGGGGAAGAAAAATTCAAGCACCAAAGGCATTGATAATTTGAAGTTTCCTTTCCCTCTTTTTAGTTTTTTGAATATGGTAACCCCCACCTCTCGGCCCAACCCCCATAACCCCCTTATCGACGAGCCAACAGTGGGCCTTTTTTTACTTTGCTCTTTTGGTGATTTGAACCCTCAATCTTATGGTTGGAGTGGAGGATCCTTGCACTAGGATAATCCTCCATTGTCTATTTTCCTTCAGAACTCTCATCACAAAATGCACATTAATTTATTTTTTTCAGTACCAGGTCTACCCTTATTTTCACAATTTCAGAGAAAGATCATTGCAAATTGCACCATGAGTGCCTCATGTCAAGAAACTAATGCTACACCCAGTGATCTGGTTGCAATTAGTTAATTAAATGGAGAAAATAAGGATGTGCACTCAAATTTTCATCGAGAATTAATTTGAACTGCAACAGGATGAAGTGCTGTGCCCATTATTTTGCCGGAAAAGCAATTGCAAGCTTCGATCAGGATTCAGAATACTAAACACTTTAAAGAAGTATGCAACCTTCAGAAACTATCTACGTTCAAAAAAGGCCTCTGTAAATTCCAGCATGCGAATTTAAATACGACCATTTCGACATGGAAAGAAGCGGGGCCGGATTTATAGGGTAATTTACGGGACACATGAACCCATGATCTCTCAGCCAAACTAGATATTTTATGTATGTATTTTTCTAGAGTTAGTCTAATATTATTAGATGGCACCCACGATCCACAAAGGCTGAATGGTGCACTTGGTAAAATACTCAGTTATAAAGAACAGGGATCAATTCTCACTTAATACTTTTTTTTGTTCCTTTTTTCGGCGGTGCACCCATGTTTTAGAAATGCTAGATCCGCCTCTGGAAAGAAGCCACAGAAAGCACCTCATTGTTCACTACGACATCCCTAATTCAAAAAACTACAAAAACAAGTCACTCCTGATTAAAGAAGCAGAGAATCAAAACTCGCATTACAGAATTTTCATGTAAATGAATCAGTTAGCAACTGGAGTTAGAAAAAGAACAAGTTTTCACCAATTTACAGTACACATTAGTATGACTAAGCCCAGAGAATCAACCAAAAATCAACAACAACAAAGTTAGTCCAGAGCAAATATAAAAGATTTAACATTTTAGCTCAAAAAGTACAAAACAAATCACCAATTCGCAGTACCCATTAATATAACTAAAACCCAGATTTGAAAAAAAAAAATGCATACTTAATCCAAAGCATAATTTAAGATTGAATCGTTTAGCTATAAATTAGGATCTTTTCTTGAAAGACTATTAATTTTCAAAGTTGATAGACTGATGTGCCAAGTGTGAAAACTTTATAGTTACAGGTATAAAGAATAGTAGAAAGATGAACTGAGAAATGAGGATCTGATATTGTCAATGGTTGATGCTTCGTTTTGGCTGAGAACTGGAGAAAAATGAACCTCTGGTGCGTCTAGTTTACTAGGGTTTATGGTTTTTCTTGTTTCCCTTTTTTGCCTTTTTCTTTTTCACTCTATAAAATTTATTCTCTCTACTTTATATTATTATACAAATATTCTTTTAGGTATATAATATTTTATTTCAGAAAATCAATTACTAAAATATTAAAAATATTTGTAAGTTATTTTTTTTATTTAAATTGTAAATAGTCCTTTTTCATTCGTTTTGATGGCCAATAGATCATTAAGAAACACAAATCTAACGAAAAAGGAATTGTTTTATTGCAGGGGTAAAGAGATTAGATCCTCCTGGTATAAGTTATAAATAAGATGTTGCAAATTGAATTCTTTCTCATTAATTTTAGCTTTTCCTTTTATATTTTGATCTTTTAAGATGAAATACGATAGAAGTATCTTACCATTTGATTACAATATCGATTTCATCTCATTTGGGATGAGTTGTTAAATATTTATTAGTATACATATGTTTCAATATAAAAAAAGATCAAAGAGAATTTATAAAAATAACTATATATTGCATATTAAATTTAGTGACCGCATTCAAAAGAATAAAGCAAAAAATAAATAAATGAATTTTGTCTACCCTAAAAATTGGATAACAATTAAACTTATAATGTGGTTTTAAGGACACGTAATTTCACCTAATACCAATCGAGGAATATGAAGATTAACAATAGAATTTAACAATGATATAAAGCAAACAAGTGTTGAAACATAATTCAGCCCTCGAGTTAGGATGCCCGCGAACTGGTCAGTACCAAATAGTGAAGAAATAAACAAGCTGACGAACAAGAAAATAAGCTAGAAAGAAAGTGTTATATTGCTTTGATATACGTGAATGTAAGATGGTTACAAAATGATTAAAACCCTCTTAATATAGTAGAGAGTCACATCTATGATACAATTCTAATTACGGAAGTAAATCTCATGGTTAGCTAAACAACCTCCCTTGATTTGATCTGTTCCGAGATTCCCGCCATGATCTTCGACTGGTCACATATATCTTGTCTTTCTGTTATTGTGCTTTGCTCGATGTTTGTCCCATTTGGTCTCGATCGCTACTGACCTCGATCTCGACATGTACCTCGATTCTCGAACTCGATACCTTGTCCTCATGCTTTAGTCTTATTCACTACGGGGCCGACCTTCGATGCGACCCCCTAGACTCGATCAAATCGTATACAGATAGTCCCCTCGTTTTTTGGAGTGTAATGAGAAGAAACGAATTGAGCCTTTGATTTTGTACCTCGACCTGTCATGACGTCATCCTCGTGACGTAAGCGACGGAAGTGACTGAAATGTCCCGTCGGTATAGTTCCCCAAGTCATTAATGAGCGTTAGTTGGTGATCGTATACCAGCGCCTTTGAACCGTCTCCGTGAATCCCTTAAATAAGCCCATTCTCTCATTGATTCAATCTTTACTTTCACTTTCCTCTAGTCTCTTGAGCTTTTACATCTCTTAAGTTCTCCCTTTCTTCAAAATCTCCAAGGTTTGTTGTTAATCCCCTTTCAAACACCAAGTCCTGTCACCTCCCTCTCTCTTTAAACTCACACAAAAATAGCAAAAATGTCAAAACTTGTTCCTCAAAAGGAAAATGCCTCTTCATTGCAACCGGCCGACGATAAAACCCCGATGGAGCCGCGCCCTAAGGAGTGCGTTCCCGGGGGTGTGTGTCCTTATTTACGACTTCAAGGTTGAAAAAATTTCGTCGGTCTCTGGTCGATGCGAGCCAATGTCAAGATATATATGCTCCATAATTGAGAGTTTCCTTAAGTTGGTAAAGAAAGACTGCAACTGGGGAGGCAAAGAGGTGGTGTTTCCGGCCCTCGAAGAAGACATCACTACTCGTGTGGAAGGGTTTCTAAGTGTTTACACTTACCCTTTCACCCTGGGCCCTCTCGATCCCGTCATCGTCGACTTTTGCCGTCAATATCAAATAACCCTGGGCCAAATCCATCCCTCTTTTTGGTGGATTGTTATTCTGCTCCGATTCTTCGCGAGCAAAGTTGAGGGGATGCCTTTGACCCTCGACCATCTCATCAAGTTGTACAACCCCCGTCTTTATCGAGGCGGATTAATAAAACTTCAGCGTCGGGCTACTAAGGTGCTGTTCTCGAGCATAGATGAGGACAAGGATCGAGGATGGATGGGCCGGTTTGTTCGAGTGAAGACTTCCGACCTAATCCCGGCCGAGAAGATGCTATTTCCCGAGAAATGGAATATGAAGCGTAAGTACAATCCCACCAATAGCTTCCATTGATTGTTTTGTTTCCTTTGCTTCTTCTCATCGACATCCTTTTCTATGAGGTAGCGGTCTCTTGGATGCCAGCAAGAAGCTAATATAGCTCTAATACCAAATTGATGTGATTCTTCGAGTTAACAAAGAACCAATCGACCAGGATCAAGATCTTGAAACAAAAACGTAGTTTGCGGGTCAATTTCAAGAAACAACGTATCTCAAGTTTTAGGACTCGAAATCTAATGATTCAAAACAAGGTGAAAGATGACGATTTGAACTATAAGAAAGATTATTTACTCGTTCAAAACAAGTAAATAATGATGATGCACAAGTTTAATGATAGTTATGATTATATGATATCAAAAGAACGAATTTAGATCAAGAAATGTGTTTTTGAAAGATCAAGAACTGAACAAGTTCATAAAGTCACCACTTGGAATTAATTAACGTGATAAAGAAACACCACACACAATTGAAAATAAGATAAAGACTATCACCACCTTGCTTGGAACCAAAAACAAGGATAAAGAAGACAAAATAGAGAAAAACACTCTATTGTAAAACTAGGCAAACCTCAAAACGTGAATTGCATTCTACAAGGCAAGAGAACCCTTTATATAGGCCTAGAGTCTCTTCTTTGATGACTACAATTCCTATTCTAATAAGAAAATAAAATAACTAGACGAGTAAAGTGAAATCCCTATTCTACAAGGAAAAGAAACTAGAATCCTACTAAAAGAAAAATCCTTATTCTAAAAGAAATAAACTAAATCCTATTTTAAGAAGGAAAGGGTCTTGGCTTCTTGAAATCAATCTTGGGCTTTTTGAACTTGAAGACACGTCCACACACCTATTCGTGGGCATATAAGAACTTGTTTTTGGCGAGCTAAATAACAGAAGGTTAATATAGCTTCTTGATTTGCATCACCTGGAACATGGCTTTGACCTCTTCGTACGTTGAGCGCTCATGGAGTGATTTAGCAAGGGACTGTTGAGAGGCCAAAAATCATGGTAAGCCCCCTTTCACGTATCTAATGATTTTCGCTAAAATATTTCTTTTCATACTCACTTGATTTCCTTTCATACAAGCCTCGGAAAAGATGTTTTCATGAGGCCCCCGTTCGGGGATGAGGAGGTTTCACCCCCCGACCTAAAACCGGCGAAGCATAAAAAGAGAAAAAGGGTCTCAACCTCTGAGGATCTGAAGCCCAAGAAAAGTAAGGCTCGTAAGCCGAAGAAAGACATCGTCCCCCTGCCTGCTGAGGTAGCTCAACGACTAAGAGAGGAAGAAGAAGAAGATGAAGACGACGACTCCAAACTAGTGGCCCGAGTGAAGAAGAACACCTAGGCCCCGAAGGCCGTTGAGTTGGTGGGGGTTGATGAGATTCAGCCTCGAACCGAGGGGGTCTTGGAAAGTCCCTGATTCGTTGGAGACTGAAGATGCCTCATGCCGAAATGAGCAATCGGTGGGTATGTTTGAAGAGGCCGGCTCCGAGGCCGTTTGAAATGAAGAGAACGCCCCAAGTGACTCGCTTGGGGCAATAGTAAATGGAGATTCGCCTACCCTCCCTACATTTTCTGAGGAGGCAATTCAGGAAGCCCAAGCTATGGGGACTCCCGATGTGGAAGGAGCCCACGGAGGGGAGGACCTCTTCCGTGGGTATTTTACCGGGGTCGAAGATGCTGCCGGCCTTATTGAAGCATCGAGTCTCTTCGATGAGGCTCAACAAACCTTGAGTCGGGTAAGTCTCAATTCCCCTATTGACATCACATTTGTATTTATTTCTTCTTTTCTTGTCTAATTTCTCTTCTTCTTTTCGCAGAGGCTTTGTCACTTTACAAAGAGGCATTTTCTAAATCTCGAACAGAGCTGAGCCTATGTGAGGCCGATCTTCAAAGGCTCACAGGGAGAGAAATGCCCTTACACTTCTCTGCAGGCAAAAAGAAGAGGAGTCTAAAGGCCTCCGAGTCGAGATGTCCATGGCTAACAAAGAGCAGTCCGACCTGATTGAGTAGGTAATGAAAAATCTTAGAAGTTCATGGTATCAGTTAGGAGATGATGACTAATACTTTGATCTTACAGGTTCAGCAGAAGGCCGAAAATATCGAGCAGCTCCGTGAGGAGATTAACATGATGAGGGCGAAGACCTTGGGGTGGAAACAAAACATGGACCGCCTTGCCTCAGAGAAAGAAGCTGCTCGAGACCAACTGTCATCGACCGAAAGTCAGCTTCAAGGCATGAAGGGAGAAAGCTCAGCTTAAGCCAAGAAAATAGAGGAGTTCGAAGCTCGGTTGGCCGCTGAACTTGCAAAGGTTAAATCTGAGGCAGAAAAAGCAAAGGCTGACGTGGAGGCGATCGTGGCCGTCTACTTATCCGATGCTGAATTCGCTCAAGCCCAAGCAAGAGAATCTGCCGAGACCGCTCAAAATCGAGCTTTTTGGATTGCCGAGCTCGCCAAATGCCAATCTCAGAGGGAGACCCTCGAGGAGATCCATGCTCGAGGTTTCGATCTCACTGACGAGATAAGGAAAGTCAAAGAGCTTGAAGACGATGCCAAGGCATTGGCCTCCTCCGACGATGATGACAACGATGATGCAGGAAGCAAGAGCAATTTCGAGTGTGGGGAGGACCCTGATGAAGAGGGAGATGCCCCTGAAAATAATTAGGAACCTTAGGATTTTTTTTAATTTTTATTCTTTAATCTTTTGTGTAGGACCCTGATCGGTCCTTGTAAATATCTTTATAAATAAAAGACCTCTTTTCTCTCTGACTTGTTTTCA